AATTAATTAAACTTGTAACATTGTGATTACCAAATCAATAGTCTTGACGAACTTGGTTAGGATTGCTTCCAAAATTTCAAATTTGATTTTCAATAGGAGTTGCCTATAACTTGAGTAGGCTTGTAGTCCTTTGACAGCTAAGATAGGTTACATGGCAGGCTTCATGCACCAAGAACTATCTTCGCATAGCGACTGTAAGTTTATTCGAATACACAACTCGGATTGAATCTAAATTAATCTATAAAAATATTAGGTATTGAATGTAATTTAAAAAAATGATAAAAGTTATGGACCTTATGTTTTGATACTTTAGGATAGCATAGTACAAAGGCAAAGCTCATACCAAGAAATTCATTGGATGAAATTGGACCCAGAAGACTACCTTATCTAGTGTCATATCAAAGCTGTTTTAATTTTACGAAGTTTAACATTATTATTTTCGAAAAAAATAAATAAATTTAATTTGCATCTAACTTTTACATAATGTGTTGGATTGTGGAGTCGGACTCAAAGTGATGGGGACCTGAAAGTAAAAGATGTGAAAAGAGAAACAAAAGTAGGAACTTCACTACAATAATGCCCACCGTCCTTGTCAAAACAAAAAAAAAACATAATAATAAAATAATAAACGTGAATCAAATTAATAGAAAATAAAATTTTAAAATTGGGATTGTTAAAGTCAATATATTTCTAATACATTAAAATTATTTGGCCGGTCTAACATATATCCGAAGGAACGTTATGTGTGAAGTATAAAGGAAATAAATAGCTCTATAAGGACACAATGGGTGAAGCCTGAGGCAATAGGTAGCTCTACGCGCGGAACGTCAAACTTAAAATCTTGTGGTTACAAAATTAATTGTTCGATAAATTTGATTAGGGTAAAATAACCGATTCTATTAAAAGAGTTATCTTATTTGAGGTATGATGAATAATTTTCTTATTTTACTCATCTAGATGTCATGTCACCTACGTTTAAGTAGAAATCGACAATAAAATTGGAGAAATTATCCAGCTAACCACTTATCACCTAAATTAACTGACCAATATATGGTGTTGGTTATCACTCTTCTGACCGTTCTTAGGTAGGTGTTCGGATTTTGGCGATCACGACATTAACATCAGTCAATAATAATAATAATAATATTTGAAATTATAACTTTGTAATATATATATATATATATATATATATATATATATATATATATATATATATATAATTTTAAAACTATTTTTCATTCCAAGTCAACATCAAGTCACCAAATCAATAGTATTAACTTGGGAGAAGAATAGTATTACGAGTAACTTTTTTGAGTCACAAGAAAACTCTAACTATTAACCAATTGATAGTGTGTATTAAGTAAATTATACTATTATATATTTTATTTGTCTCATTTTATATGTCCTATTTATTATTCATTGGTCAAATCAATTCTTTATTCTTATTTATTTTCTTTAGTATTTTTTTACTCATTTTTAATTTTGATTTTTTATGTTTAATAGTACTTTTAGTGTAGTTTCTAAATATATAAATTTTGTATAATAACATTAAATTTAATATTATGAAAATTTGAATTAAAAATAACTTCAGTCAAACTTCGTTAACCGAACCAGACATATAAAATGGGACGGACGGAGTAATAATTTATTCTAAGGGTCAGGTCTTCCCGTGCGGTCAGTGCGGCATACACCATTAGGTATGTATAAATGCACTACACAGTATTCGTAAATACACTATATGTGTGGTGTAGGGTGTAAACGAGCCGAGCCGAGCTCGAGCCTGGGTAGGCTTGAGCTCGTGCTCGTTAATGGAGGCTCGGCTCGAGTTCGAGCTTGGTAATTTTCGGGCTGATCGAGCTCGGCTCGAGCAGCTCGATTGTTTCGAGTTCGAACTCGAGCTCGATTTTGACATTGAATTTGACATGTTTAATACTTTTGGTTTAAAATTCAAACTACTTTGTTTTATCCATACATAAATAATAGAAATCTTTTAGGGATTTTGAGTTTAAAATTCTAATTTCTAATTGTTATTTTTATATATTATTATTGTATTATATTATATCATTATTATATATATTATACGTATATATTATATGGCTCGCGAGCGGCTCGACGAGCCACGAGCCTAGAATATCTAGGCTCGGTTCGAGTTCGATTATTAAACGAGCCGCTCGAGCTCGATATTGACCGAGCTCGATCCGAGCTTTGACCGAGCTGCTCGCAAGCGGCTCGTTTCATTTACATCCCTAGTGTGGTGTATTTATTTTTTGTGTGGTGCATTTTTTGGCATTTCATTCTGGTGTATTTTCGAACACTGTATGGTGCATTTATGCATATCTAATGGTGTATGCCGCACTAACCGCACGGGAAGACCTGACTTCACAGGAACCAAAATCTTTGTTCTAATATTCTTTAATTTTACATATGGTGGGGTTATACAACAAGCTAAGTCTACTGAAATAATAATCTAAAGTAAAAAAAAAAAAAAAAAAAATGGTTACTAAGGTCGGACATCGTTGGTGAGACATGTCAATTCCAATGCTACTACTTTTAAATCAACATCATACTTACATATGTCACGACTAACTTGAACCACTAAATGCATACTACCCCATCAAATAACTTTAACCACGTACGTTAATGTTGTAAGGTCGTGTAAGGTACTACAATTCCCGCTTCCACACGTTTTGGGAGACCATCAATATGTGAAATTCCTTAACATTTTCGTCCTCCATCTTCATTCAGTATTTCAGACATTCTCATTCACGCCACAATGTGCTAAATACCCAAAACACCCACCTTAAAAAATAGTTAGGCACTTAGACGCCGACCAATTGAACCCTTATATACATTTTTAAAAAATAATATTTTTTTTAAAATAAGATATAACCTCAATCAAGTTGGTCAATGTGTTAACTTAGTAAGAACAAAACAATAAGTTAAAAAAAGAAGAAGAGTATTTTGTCAAGTTGGTTAATTTGACAGTTAGCATAAATGAGCTGTCTATTGACATTTTTAATTTGAACTAGGTTGATTTACATTCTTATAGTCCTATGTTAACTAGAGTCACAAGTAAGTTTCACGTATAGCGCACTTTTGTGTGGCATTTGCAAGTTTTCCCATATATTTAAAAAAGAATTTGAGTCTTAATTAACCTTTATAACTATTATATTTTTTATTTGTGGTTATCAAATTTAAAATCATTTTTCAATTACTGAAATGTTTGTAATTTTTAATAGACAGGAACAAAACCGAGTTGATTTTGAATTTAAGAACAAAAATTTAAAAAAAAACTCAATAATCGAAAGAGCAAAATTAGAATTAAATTCCTTTTAAAATCAAAACCTTTCATTAAAAATCATGTTTAGCCCTAATTTATATATTTTTGTTTGAGCACATATTTTCTTGACTAGTTAATCAAAACGACACACAATATCTAATAATGTTTTTGTTTGAAATGACCTCAAGACTCGAGAGTAACAATGCACTCTCTCATTAATTTTAAAGTAGTTCAATCTAATAATTTGAATCCGCCAAAACCCTTAGTTAAGTAATTAGAATTAATAAACATTATCTCATCCACACCCTATAGGTCTAATTTGTTTTCTTTAAACAAGAGAATGACATGCAATTTGAATATAACAAATTGAAAAATACATTATTTTTTTCCTTCTTGAATTTAGCTCAAAATGTTCATTTTCTAATGTAACATATTTTTTTTAATATTAATTACCAGTTGTTTATGAATTAGCTGACTCGCCACTAGTTTAAAAAAGAAATTACTTAATAATCAAATACAACGATTCTGTTTAAAAAAAAAAAAATACAACGATTCTATTATATAGGACATTAGAATGTAAATATTATAAAGCAAATTTAGGTGAGAGCAATTTATGTGGTAAATACGGTTAAGTTCACAAATACGTACAATTTGCACGGTCTGGCTGTTGGTAGATCTTTCGCAATTTGCTTTATTAAGTTAAGTTTAAGGCTCGGATTTTGACCTAAGGCCAGAGGTTCCTAAGCTAAGTAATATTAGGTAAAGATGCAAAAAATTCTCATTCTTCAAGTATTTAATGAGATATTTATAGGAGGTTGAAGGGAACACATGTCAATTCCCCAACATGTGGAGCTCATGCATAAGAGAAGGTTGGAGGTTTTGTCGATTTCACCACGTGTACCGAGATTCCTGACTCCCTCGTTCTTGTAGACACCGGGTTCGAGCAAAGGAATTAAGGCTAAAGGCTCCAAGTAGAGAGGGTTAGGTGGTCTATCCCGACCTAAGTTGGTCGGGGTGAATTAAAAGACAGTTAGGTACTAATGTTAATCGTGCCTTGCTAAGTCCTACCTACTAGGTCGGGTCTGTGGGCTTTGAAGTCGGTAATGCTCGGGAATGATCCCTCTCTGTGACTCGACCAACTACTGAGTAGGTACATGGCACGTAAAGAAAAAATAGCATAGGAGTATTCCTTATCAGCGATAATCGGGTCATACCTACCTTAAGAGGTGGACCAAAACCAGTCTTCTACAAGACCCTCCCAACCCCAAGCTAAGAATTTTCAAGCCTAGGCCCTTTTTCTCCCTTGGCTGGTTTGTTTGTAAATTTAATTGTAACTTTCTTTATGTATCATTATATTTGTTAAACTAATTTATTTGTGTACAAAATATCTCTCAATTTAGTGTATAATGCACAAAATTCTTATAAAAGTAACATATTTTAATGATGTATAGTGCCATATGACACTACTTGCAAAAGCCCGACATTATGTTCCAATAAAGCACTTGTTTAATGTGTTGGATTTAGTCAAATTATGACCTAATGACTAAAAATTAGCCCAAAGCAAAAAAGCAATGAATAATTGAGAAAAAAAGTGACTTTTACAAGACCTGCACAACATTCACGTTCGTTTAATTCACAGTATATTTTTTCACAATAATGTGGAAGCTTTAGATATTGCGGGAGGTGGTGTACTGTGCCATTCCCATTTTCCACCATATATAGACATGGTGAGGAAGAAGACAACCAACCAACCACACAAGTTGGGGTTTCTGACGCTGCAATTGAAGGAGAGAATCCCTTTCCCTAGTGTTATCTCCTCATCCTCCTTCCTCTTAACCCCACCACAAGCCCATTCTTGATTGGTCAAGATTTCGGCTTCAATACTTACATATCCTGTTGTGTGGTCTTTGAGGCCACAATTCTGTTTCTCTCTTGAATTGGAAGAGGCCCAGAGTTCAAAGGTTCTACCTTTCTGTCCCTAACGTCCTCTAATGGCGAGTTGGGTGTTATCAGAATGTGGTCTCCGACCATTCCCCAAAATCTACCCTAAGCCAAGAACTGGGATGGGTTCTCTCAGTTGTGGCAGCCCCTCAAGGGTGACAGTTTCAGGAACAGATCTGGGTTCTTGTTCGTTGATTGGGATTAGAGAGAGGAGCTGGGCATTGAGGGTGAGTGCCCCGGTGAGGGTCCCCTCAGTTGGGGAGGAAGAGGAAGAAGAGAGGGAGAGAATCAATAGCGTCAATGGGGGTGGGGTTGAGTTTTTTGACCCTGGAGCACCGCCGCCATTTAAGCTGTCTGATATCAAAGCAGCCATTCCTAAGCATTGCTGGGTGAAGAACCCTTGGAAGTCCATGAGCTTTGTGGTTAGGGATGTTGCAATTGTGTTTGGATTGGCAGCTATGGCTGCTTCTCTTAATAACTGGATTGTTTGGCCTCTGTATTGGTTGGCTCAAGGAACCATGTTCTGGGCTCTCTTTGTTCTTGGCCATGACTGGTATATATGAATCCTATAGTCTTTTTTTTTTTTTTTGGGTGCAGATTATATGTCAAAAAGTTTTAATTTTTAAGTTTCTGATGAACTTTGCAGTGGCCATGGAAGCTTTTCTAATGACCCAAAGCTGAATAGTGTTGCTGGCCATCTCCTCCATTCTTCAATTCTTGTCCCTTACCATGGATGGTATGACCTCTTTGTGTTCTTTAAGGTTTTCTAAGAATTGTTGAAATGTTAGGAACATATTAGCTTAGTGAAATTATGTTGTTCTGGTAATGTTGCAGGAGAATTAGCCATAGGACTCATCACCAGAACCATGGCCATGTTGAAAATGATGAATCTTGGCACCCTGTAAGTGTTTGAACCTGCTTACCTCAAGTCATCTATTTCATTCGCTTACGTTTTTACTTATTTTTCACTCGATTTCAGCTGCCCGAGAAGATATTCAATAGTCTTGACAATGTCACGAAAAAATTGAGGTTCACTATACCATTCCCACTGCTTGCATACCCCATCTATCTGGTTAGCAGCCTAGTGTTTTTTTACCCTTTTAGTCTGTGTACAGAACTTTTTTTTTCTCGAATCAAAATAACCTTTTGGCATGTGTTGCGATTTTAATTACTTATAGTGGAGTCGAAGCCCTGGGAAGAAAGGCTCTCATTTTGATCCAAACAGCGATTTGTTTGTGCCAAATGAGAAGAAAGACGTGATTACCTCAACTGTGTGTTGGTCAGCCATGGTTGCTATTCTTGCTGGTTTATCGTTCGTGATGGGGCCTGTCCAATTGCTCAAACTCTATGGAGTTCCATATGCGGTTGGTCCATCATCTCAGCCATTGATTTTATGATCTCTCAACACATATCGTTTTTGCTATATAGAATCTGAATATTCAATTCCAACTCTTTTGGTTTGATGTAGATCTTTGTTATGTGGCTGGATTTAGTCACCTACTTACATCATCATGGACATGAAGACAAACTCCCATGGTATCGTGGAAAGGTATGATTCCGGTTTCACAGAAACTGGATTTCTCTGTTGGAGTTTAGTCCAATAAAGAAGGGAGAATATCGAAGACTATTTGTTTATTGATGATGCAACATTAAAGTTTAAATCTTTAACAGGAATGGAGTTACCTTAGGGGTGGACTGACCACTCTTGATCGCGATTATGGATGGATAAACAACATACACCACGATATTGGGACCCATGTCATACATCATCTTTTCCCGCAAATCCCTCATTATCACTTGATTGAAGCTGTAAGCCCCTCGTTTTAATGAAGCTTTCTGCTCGGGTTTACGTGTATTCACAGTAGTATTAAACTTTGGGTTTCATTTGCAGACCGAGGCTGCTAAACCGGTGCTAGGGAAGTATTACAGAGAGCCGAAGAAATCATGGCCTCTTCCACTCCACCTGTTGGGAGACCTCGTGAGAAGCATGAAGAAGGATCACTACGTGAGTGATACCGGGGATGTTGTATATTACCAAACCGACCCCAAGCTTGCTGGAACCGAGAAGTGAGACTGTCGATCTCTGAGGTTTCTCCTAGTTTAGTAATGCTCGTTGGGTCTTGGCAGATGGTTCGTTTGACTTAACTCAATTCTCGGTGTTTTTGTGCTTGTACTACTATTTTTGGAGGCATTAGCGGCCAAGTCCATTCATTCTTACCTTATATGATATAGCTCTCTGATCATAAAGTTCAAGAAATGTATTGTGTTATCATTCATGGCAGATATATAATGTATGTAATGATCATTCAGTTCAACAAAATGATAAGCTTTTATTTTATCTTATTTTATTTGTTCTTCTCTCTGGTTCTTTGTGGTTTAGATATGACACTCAATCTGCTTCAGAATTTTTATCAGAAAAAATAATTGCCATAACTTTTATGGTGGTTTAGGACCACCAAGATCACTAACTAAAAGCCAATCACTATTGGCAAAGATTTGACAAAACAGTTCAAGAAGATGATTGGTGATGTGGAATAGTCATATTTACCAGAATCAATTCAAGTTTTGCTGCTTCACAGGCTCTCAAAACTGTATCAGCATCATCATCTGCAAACGCTGCGACAACCCTTCTCCATATTCCGGAGCAAAACCTGCTCCCGGGACACAATTCAACTCTGGTTCGTTGGCAACTGCAGGGTGTAGGGCACTTCGGAGAACTTGTAGACCGTTTGGTTGATAAGGCCCCTCGGGATTGGGAGCAACTTTGGAGATTTCTTAGCTGTTTTCTGGGTAGCAGATTGTGGGCCCACGTAAGGTTGAGCCCTAACAGTCGCAGTGTGCGAGTGGCTCCTTGTGGGTACCAAGCATTGGTCCTCTCACCTAATGGACCACTGAGTCACCGTGATTTACTCCTCTACAATCCTGTCAGGCTACAGTGTGGGGCAAAAAAAAATAAATGAAAAAACAAGAACAAGTAGCAGAAGTTGAAGAGACTGTATGTGCAAATATGAAATCAGAAGCTCTCCCTTTCTGCAACAATGGAAAATCATAACTTTGTCTAATCTCCAACATGGAAGAGATACAGTGCATCTTTAACTAATAAAGATGACTCCAACACAAATTGGAATGTGTCCAACTCTTCAATAAACAATGAAAAGCTCCATATAGAAATCCCAGGATTAATATAAAAAATACCCATCAATATTGCTTTCTGGGGCAATAATGAGCTCCATAACAAAGACACTTTATATGCATTGACTAACACAGAACTGAACTTGAGCTTCTTGTTCATAAAATGCTTCATATGAGCTATGGAAGCAGTCTTCATCTTGTTTTTTCTCAAACAGGAAGGAAAAATGGATTCTTTATATCTTTCCAGATCTTTTAACTTGGGTTATACTCTCGATAGAGGTGTTAATTAAACTAGGTTGAGGCCACAAGCCAGGCTAACTAACCCTACTGTAAAGGTTAGGGTTGAAAAATTTTGCCCCCCTCCCTAACCCTCATCGTTGGTCGGAGACGAACACATTTTTTTCATGGAGACGAAGGTGGGGGTTGAGGCTGCAGGCTAGCCTAACCCGCCCTGGGGGGTTAGAGTTGAAAATTTTGACCCCCTCCCCCACCTTTGATCAAAGACAAAGATGTTTTCTTCGACTCTAGCTGGACTACTGGAGAACAAGTTAATTTTAGTTTAATTGTATGATTTTGTACAGTTTATAATTCAATTACATAATTTTTAAAAATTAGATAAAGCAATTACAGTTTGATGTGTAATTCGCTGATTTATTTGAGTTTTATTTAAAATATATATATATATACAATATAAAAATTAGGAATATAATTAAAAATTAATATTAAAATATTATAATAACGGGATGGACCAACGGCTAACATACAGAAATGAACACGTCAATGGCGGCTAACCCACAAATCTCAATGGCCAAAAATTTCAAACATGTGGTCCCCACCGGTACTATAAAAAGATGTCGGAGATAAGGTCGGCGAAGGAACCAAATGCACCTCGTCATCACCAGCTAATAAGTAATAACCACCCCTTCTTTCTGTTATTTGATCCCTGCCAATTAATAATGTGCTGTCACCCCTAAGAATAATTATACTTTTTACAGCTATCATTTTTCTAACTGGATTTATCAGCCTAAATAATAATTTAATAAAACAGATTTGAATTGCTTAAACATTAAGACAAAAGTTTAAATCTAAGCGATACTAAGCAGAGAAGTTAAAAATTCGAATAATATATTAGGAATGTTAGGTAAATAATTGTTAGCTGATTGGATTAGTGTGTTTGACTACTTAATAGCATTAGCTTATTGCAGAAAAGTTAGTTGTTACCTGTAAACTAACTTTCTCGAAAATGCTACTTTGAGCAGTTTTTGAATTTTTTTAATATTTTAAAATAATAAGTTGTTACAAAAAGCTAATTAATCAAGTACTCATATTAATTGTTTAACCAAATTAAACAGTTAATATTGATCAAATAAGTTAAAATTGACTAATAAGCTAACTGGGCCTGAGCTTTTGACTCCAACAACCAAAGACTATTCAACAATGAACATCCACCAGGCATTATTGAATACAACTTCATAAATAATAATTGAGTAAAATATTATTATTTTCAAATCAATGGCTTTGATGGCTTTTATCACCTTCTCCTTTTAGAGTTTTGAGGGCCATGATTGAAAAATCCACCATTAATGCAGCCTGTGGAGCTTGGAAGATATGCATGACAAACATCCTCTTCTCTTATTTATTTCATATATATATATATATATATATATATATATATATATATATATATATATATATATATATATATATATATATATATATATATATATATATATATATATATATATATATATATATATATATATATATTGTGAATACATTAAGGAATACAAAGAAATTACAAGAATACTAAAAGAATTCTCAGTTTGTTTTCAAGCTAAGAGGTCCTTGTGATTCTCAAAAGAATTAATCAGTAATCTCCCTATCCATGGTGTTTCTTAACCCTACTAACAACTACATTTATATAGATAGATATATATTCAAAAGTATAGTAATAAGAATATGAAAGAATATGAGTTAGCCATGGAGGATAATGCATGGCAGAGATGTGTACCTAAGCCACCATCTGCTCCTGCTCTATGTACAACATCTGGTCGATCCACGACGGGTTGGGATCGTGTACCCAAGACACGTCGGGCTCGTGTGTCTGTGATGGGGCGATGATTGGGGTTCGGTTTGAAGCATTTGCACCCCGAATGCCAAACGAGGAGGATCTTTTGAGTTTGTTTAGATCGTCCCCGTTGAAGCCCCAATCCAGTTTCCCGTCTGGGGAGCTCCAATCGGAGAGGCCTCGAGAGTTTGCAGCGTGGTGAGTGGCCCCACCACTGCGGTCGATGAAGCTCTGGCTGCGTTTCGCGAACCCAGCAGACCTCGAGTTCATGACTGCAGCTGCCACAGCTGCAGACGAGTCGTATCCGTACGAAGATGTCTTCCTTGCTGGGGAAGAGGAAAGCGTGGCGGGATAGCTAGCTCGGAGTTGGTTCATGTTTTGGCGAATCGGGGATTGCAGCTGGGAACTGCTGGGACTTTGAACCTTGGGCGAGAGGCACTGCAATTGGGATGCCAAGGGCGAATCGAGGGAGGCTAAGGCTAATACATCCTCGAGATTAGTAGGCTTGAAATCCCCGAGCCTATTGTAGTCCTTATTCCAATGGGACGGGGACGAGAGACCAGCCATCTCGTCGACCAGTTGCTGCTGCCTATGTTGTTGGGAACGAATACTTTCCAAGCTAAGCAATTCCATCTCGAGCTCCAAATCCCGAGCATTCCGAGCTGTCTTCAGCCTGCTCCCGGGAAGCTGTAACGTAGGCGGGGTGAAGTTCATCTTGTTCTGCCACATCGGAGACGAGGAGCAACTAACGGTTGGAGACATGGGCGGTGTTGAAGTAGTAGACAACAACAAAGACGAAGAACCAAGAGCCAACGGGCTCAACGTGGCCATGTCCATTGAACTGACCGAAACGGACTTTGGTGAAGGAATAGCGGAACCGGTAGATGCATAGAGTGGGCGTAACTCCTCGGGCTTGTGAGCAAAGAAGCATACTTTCCTCGAGCACCCGGTCTCGTCCTTGCACAAACGGGTTCTATATTGAGCGGGATGAAGCCAGGACTCGAATATACCATGGGCAAATTCACACGCATCGCCCTTTCCACAACTCCCCTTCTTGAACTCGGGGCACGGGACACAACTATATGTATACTTCCTCGGGTCACGCCTCCTCGCATTCTCGCCCGGATGAACAAAAGGGCACTCGGTCCAGTCATGAGAATAAGCCCTCGAGCACGGCTTAATCTTGAAACTATACATCCTAAACTCATCACTCCCGTATATCCCATTATTTATATCGGGCAACGAAGTATCAATAGGATACTCTTTCACCAATCGACCCACCATTTCCGTTTTTTCTTCTTCATCATCACCAACCTTGCCTTTCAACAACTCGAGGGTTCTTCTCTTCAACCCTCCCGAGGACTTCAAGCTATAGGGCTTGTTCCCGCTAGCATCAACGCAATTCACATCAGCCGAGGCATCAACGAGGATCTTGACAACCTCAGCAGCCGCCTCCGAGCCACCAGCCACTGCACAGTGAAGGGCGGTCGCCCCATCCGAGCCACAAGCCATGTTCACATCAACCTTCCCAGTCTGAACAATATACTTGAGAACCTCAACACTTCCATACATGGAAGCAATCATAAGAGGGCTCCTCTCTTCTAACCCCATCTTTCTCGACCCGATTCGCCTACCATACCACAAGCTCAGCTCATTAACATCACAACCCTTCCCTTCTACTTCACCAATGAACCCACCCACATCATCTGCAGCTGAAAATTCAAGCAATTTTGAGCAACTCTCACAGAAAAACCCATCTTTCTTCTCCATTTGTGAACCTAAAGGGCAATATTCACCCTTCATCAAAATCCCTGTATGTTCAAACAACTTCAAATAAGGCATATACACCAATTACATATATATATAAAACACATATAGATCCTTTCAATCTCTAAGATCTCACAAAACCAGCACTCCTTAACAATTAACAACTCCTATTCCAAGATTCAACTGTCTAGTTGCAGAAAGTATACCTAACTAACACTAAGCACAAATCAGTGAAGAGAAAAGTATGATCCATTCAACAATTTCCATACAAACCCACACCTTAAAATGATAGTTAGTCCAAAATTCAACCAAGAAACAAACAAGAAAAGGCAAGAATTAACCAAAGACTGAAGCTTTTTGCTCTTAACATACCTTAATCAAGAGGAACTTATGGAGAGGAGGAGTACCAATCAAACAAAATGAGTTTGGATTTGGTGTGGAGAGAGCAGGGGAGAGAGGTGGGCAGTTTATAAGGAAGGAGGCTAAAGGGAAGGAAGAAGGAAGGTGAGATTTTTCTTCTTCTTTGTTGTTTGTATGGTGATGTGTTTTCTTGATTTCTCTTTGGTCAAAAGTCTAACCTTTGAAAGGGTTGAGTCCACCTCACACCACTTCTGTGTCGTACTGGTTCCCACCTAAATGCAAATGCAAATGCAGATGCACATGAAACTCAAATGCGGATGACATTCAAATGCAAATGTTTTCTTTTTTCCTTCGTGGTAAAGCAACGCCACATCTTAAAATTAAATTAGTACTCCGTATTATAATATTATAATTTGATATATATGTCTTCAAATATAGACTTCGTTTTGTATTCTTATATCTCATCGATACAAAACATTATTTCTTTATTTACTCCTTTTTAAACTATGATTTTTTAGCAAGTGATGATAAGTAAGAGTATTGAACTATCTTTACTTTTTTTTTTACCAGAACTATGTGGTCTAATGGTATCCGGGTTGGACTTCCATTTGGAAGATTATGAGTTCAAGCCTCAGTGGAGGCGTTATTGGTTCTTTGTGTTTCAGTAGGTTGAGAAAGTATATGAACAGATACTACAATGTAATAGAGCCAGTAACTTTCAAAAAAAAAAAAGAACTATCTTTACTTATTTTTACACATAATTAATAATCAAATCATATTTAAACTCTATAGTTGTTTTCTCAATTTTGTCTCTAAACAAGTCTTCAACTCTATCATTTTACATGCATATTGCATTGTCTCAATTATGAATTTTTCGTAAAATACAATGGTATTTTGATCTTCAATTATTAATTTTTTTAAGAAAAAATAAAAATATAAATATAACGGGTCAATTCATTTTGTATAAAAAAAATCAAAATATCATTATATTTAAAGACATTTTTATGAATTTATTGACGAATGACAAAAAATGATCATATCACAATAATACTATGACTAAAGAAGAAGTTCTGAAAAAACAAAACTAAAAAAAGACTAAAAATAGACCTATAAATTTAAGGAAAAAAAATTAGAATTAACTCTATATTACTTCTATCAAGATTTATATATATATATTGATAGGATCTATGAGGATATATATAGACTTGATTTGACTTAACTAGCAACTCTATCATTGTTTTTTTTTTTTTTTTTTTTTCATAAAAATGGGTTTTACAATTTTTTTTTTAAAGAAGAATTATATAATTTTGTATGAATTCGCCAAGTTTGAATGAGTTGTCTTGTTGACTCCAAAATTCCTTAGCTAATGATTAGTCAAAATCTGGTAACTTTGGTGTTTGGCAACAGCAGATTGAGTGCAGTGTTTAATACGAGTAATTTATTTATTTATATAATTAGCTAATCACAAATGTTGTTTGGAAAGTTTGGATGATCATGTTTCCTCTGTCCGATGCTTCCCAATCCCTATGTACTTTCATGTTGGCTGACTTCTCAAACATATATACACCTAAAATTTATTCCTTCGATGAATACAGCGTTATAATGATTTATATTTTAAATAAAAGAGAAAATGGTCTATGCCCTTAAATTTTACCCAAATATCAATTAGACCCCTAAACTTTAAAAAAATTTAATTAAATATTTAAACATGTCAAATTGGCTCAATGAAGCCTCAAAATTGATAAATGATCTATTATTACAGGTCATTTCAATTTCGGCAACAGATTCCGACCACCGACGACAAAATCCGGTCACCGACGACAATTTTCGCCTGTCTGGTCGTCTTACACTAGAGAAGATAACCGGACGGCCGCCTTCTCCAGTAGAGAAGACGACCAGACGGCCGTCGGCTGTCTTCTCCATTGGAGAAGATGATCCAGATCTAGATCGTCTTATCTATTGGAGAAGACGGCCGACGGCCGTTTGGTCGTCTTCTCCACTGGAGAAGATGACCAGATCTGGTCATCTTCACTAATGGAGAAGATAACCAGACGGCCGTTTTCTCCACTGGAGAAGGCGGCCGTCCGATCGTCTTCTCCAGTGGAAGACGACCGGACGACCGGAAATTATCGTCGGTGGCTGAATTTTATCTCCGAAGGCCAGAATTTGTAACCGGTGGTCATAATTTATCGTCGGAATTGAAATGGTCTGTAATAACAAGTCGTTTATCGATTTTTGAACTTCATTGACCCAATTTGACATGTTTGATTGTTTAATTGAACCTTTTAAAAGTTTAGGGTCTAATTGACCATTAGAATAAAGTTTAGGGTCATATTGGACCCTTTTCTCTAAATAAAAAATTACACTTATATAATGAGTTATAACACATAAAGTCATTTTTGGGTTTATTCTAATGAATGTCTCTTATTTTTTTGTTACAATTTTAAATTTAGTTTTAGACAATCATTTTTATCATTTAACATTCTAAACTATTATATTTTGGACACTTTTAGTTAATTCATTGACTTTTTTGTGAAATTCTATTTTATGTAATTGTGTTTTTCTCTTTTCATATTTTTAATATAATTTTCTCAACAAATTAATTTCAGCGTAAGTCTCTTATAGTCTTTGGTTACAATTTCAAATGTGACAACTCCAAACCCGACTTACAGTCTTTGGTTACAATTTCAAATGTGACAACTCCAAACCCACATAATAATGGACTAAAACAATATTACATATTTTTTTTACAACTACTATAAATTTATAAATATAATTGTCTAAATCATATTACATTTTCAAATTTCAAAGAAATTTGCAGCCAATCAAATTATTTAAAACAACATTAAAATAGAGTCTGATTCTATTTTTTTTTTCCACAGCTTAATGCCTTTTTAAATTATTCCCCTTTTTCTAATATTTATTCTAGTAATAATATAATTATCTAAATCATATTATAATATCAATTTTTCCAAGATAATTACAGACAACCGAGTTATATATTATTCAATTAATTGGGTGATACTTTTGCACTAATTTTATAATCAAATAAATGTTCACTTTCAAATATTAAAATTATTTATAATTTTATATTTAATTTTATTATCTAAATATCTAAATATATAGTAAAAAATATATTCGTGTATCGCATGAGTAATTTACTAGTTCAAATTAATATACTTCTTAACATAATCAAATAGTGCATTTTTGAAGCTAGAAGTTCATTGTGGAGCAAGAGGCCCAATACAAAATGTCCACCAAATAACAAATGAGCCCCAATGATTTAGGGTCCAGCAAACACAATTACAGGTCCATGAGCAACTAGGCAACTACTAACAGAGCAAACAGTTAAATAGCAATCGTTATGCTCTAGACCCGTGTTATTCGTTTATAGTTGTGCATGCTGGACACAAGTAACAGTATCGTCCTTAGGCACTGTTATCTTTTTTTTTTTTTTCTTTTTTTTTTTTTAAATTTCATACCACTTTGTTATAGGAGTATATGCTTTATTACTATATGTTCATAATTGTAAGTTCATAATGTCAGAGCTTTATGTTCATAATTTCATAACTGTACATTCATACTTCCATAACTGTACATTCATAATTCCGTAACTGTACATTCATAATTCAATAACCTAACTGTAACTTTATAATTTTTGAAGCTCTATGTTCACAATTTTAGAGCTATATGTTCATAATTTTATCACTATATGTTCATATTGTAAGTTCATAAATCATAATGTCAGAGCTCTATGTTCATAATTTCATAACTGTACATTCATAATTGCATAACTGTACATTCATAATTCAAGGAACTGTAAAATCATAATTTTCAAAGCTCGATGTTCACAATTTTAGAGCTCTATGTTCATAATTTTATCACTATATGTTCATAATTGTAAGTTCATAATGTCAGAGCTCTGTGTTCATAATTTTATAACTTACATTCATAATTCCATAACTGTACATTCATAATTCCATAACTGTACATTCATAATCCCATGACTGTATATTCATAATGGCATAAACGAATAACACCGTTAACGCCGAAACAAAATCAATTTTTTTTTAAACTGAAATGACGCGTTTTCCCTAAAAACAACTTCGTTTTAGTCTCGTGTCCACACGAGTGCACTGCATAATTTGCCGTTAAATAGATATCCATTTCTTTAGTTTTCCTTAAAAAAATTGGTAATTTGTCCAAGTACTAAATGCAGCCTAAATATTTGTCATATAAATATAATATAATATAATATTTGACGGGATATTATCCGGCCCAATTCTTTTCTTTTTTTTTTAAATTCTGACAAAAACTCATTTTTACAGGACATTTCAAGCACCAAAAATCATTCTTCTACATTACTTAAAAATCTAACCTTTAAAATTTTACTATTAATAAACACTTATTGAGGATACTCTTAGAACAATCAATAGTATACACTCCGCCTCGAGAGAACTTGCATGTAAACCCCCTTATCCACTCCGCATGTGCACTGATGCAGCCACACTCGCTTGCCGACATGCCATCTGAGGAGGAGGATTCAAAAAATGAGTCTGTATGTGTTATACAAATAATAATAAATAAATAAATAACATAGAAGGTGACACATCTACTACATCTGAAATAAAATTATTGAATTCCTCCGGACAAATATCTTATATCTTATTTATATATATGAACTCTAAAATATTTATTTGATTTTAAATTTCAATATGAATGTCAAAAGCAAATTAAACCACCATGGCCGGGCGTAGGTACGTGGAGGATGTGTTGTGCCGTGACCACGACATATCCGGCCAAATTCTAGACACATACAAGAAAGCAAAAGCTAAAGGACACACACACACACACATATATATATATATTATATATATATATATATATATATATATATATATATATATATATATATATATATATATATATATATGTTGTGAGGTGAACAATCCATTGGCTTCCAATAATTGTAAAGTGAAAGTTTATTCATTGGTTAAATCATGCCACTTTTCTTTTATATATGTGTGTGAGAGATTTCAATAATTGTATTTGCAATGGTCCTTGACAAAAAAGGTCCCAACAATTTTGAAGCACTAGTTCTAAAGTCCCTATCATATTGTCAAACATTGTTTAACATGAAAAACATTTAAAAGGGATGGATGAAATACTTCTTTTAATAATTTTCATGTCGTCAAACAGATGCATGATAT